TTGATGACATCTTAAAGAGTGCTACTCAGGCTTGGAAGAAATTAATTAGAGCGTGGTGCATATTTCCGCATTATTAAGGCGTTTTTTTTTGGTTGTTCTTTTGGTAAGGGTATTTATGCCTTACACTTTAGAAGTTTACACTGAATGGTCACTTGGATTATTTTATTCACAGAGTGATGCACAATCACGGTTATTACACTGTGTTCACTTTTCACTTTAAATGTCATGTTTTTTTTTTAAGTTGCACAGTGCATATCGTTTATGGGTATTTAATTTTTATCTTCTAAAGTTAATGCACTATATGAGTTTTTTTTTTTGAGGTTCAAATTTCCTTTGGGAGCCAATAGGAGGGCTCGTTATGAAAGGATCCGGAAATTTCCATTATTGGAATCAAAGATTGGAATGACTTTTATTTTTTCTTGACACGAGTGACTTATAAATTTTTATTATATATTTTTTTGGATATATAATTTTTTGGGGTTTTTACTTATTGTATGAAAATTTGTTTCACATTTTTAGGGTTATTTATTACAGCATATTGGGGTTATATTAAGATAATTTAGAAACTTCATAGACAGTATTTAAGCACTTTTGGAAGAAGGCATTTGGAAAAGGAATGATAACAGCCAGCTTTTAACCAAAAATCTATTTTAGAGTGTCTTTCACAGAATACGACTAGATATTGTACTGGCTACTTAAACAGTAATTAATCACTTGCAGGCTCAGAAATGTAAATAAATACTGCAAGCTTGCTTCTGGGTCTTGGGCATGCACGTGTGCTCCCCCTGCTAACCCGTTCTGTGGTTGGACATAGCAAGATTTTGTCAGCAGATCCCGACCAATGATTTATGGCTGAGACCTGCTTATCGGCTGTGTCCAATCACAGCACAGAGCACTGTGTTTACAAACAATACAAGACTTTGTGCACAGAGCAGCAATCTGGCTGTTTGGAGAGAAAAAACAGCCAGATCTGCTAGTCAACCCTTTGATTGCCCCTAGATGTTAACCACTTCCTTGCCAGTGTCATTAGTACAGTGACGTGTACAGTTTTACATCTGATCACTGCATTAGTGTCACTATTTATGTCAGTGTCAGTTAGTCAGTTGGTGTACCTCCCAGCAAGAGTCTGTTAGCACCAGATTGCTCACTGCACTATCATGGTTGCACTATAAGTCACTGATCACCGCCATTACCAGTATAACGTCATAACTGCGTAGATTCCAATATAACGTGCACATAAAACTAGAGATGCACTGATAGCTGTTTTTTAAGAGCGAGCACGAGTTCCAATACTTGTGCTCAAGTACTCGCTGATACCAATTACCAATACCTTTGCAAAATGAATGGGCTCAAATCACACTGCAAAGAATCACTTGTGATTTGAAGAGGAATGTGGTGGGATTCCTGTCTGAATCACATGCGGTTTCCTCCCCTGGTTCTGTGTGAACCCAAGCTTGTCACAGTGACATTAGCCTGAGTGGAACAGTGTGGGAAACCGCATGTGATTCGGAAAGGAATCACACCAAATTCTTGTTCAAGTCACATTTGATTCTTTGCAGTAAAGAGAGGGAGGGGGGAGAGAGGCGCCAAGCCACCAATAGTGCAGTGGAGTTTATATTGTATAAAAATAAAATAAAAAGCAGATAATAGGCATTCAGAAAGTCTCAGTGAATGAGACATGCACACAGATGATCAGGAGCCAACACTAGAGTCCAAATGGAGCCACAACTGCAGGGATCGCAGGAGCATAGTTGGAGCCTAGAAATGGATCCAGATGAGTTGCCGCGGGAGACTCAAGAGAACTGTCAGTGGAGCAAGACATGTGTGTGTACCTTCACTGCTGAAGGTTGAACAGCAGGTTGGGGCTGTTGTCACACACGACCTTCCTGGAACAAGATAGCATGGAGTCAGTCAGCTCTTGACCAACCTTTAAAGAGCTGACAGAATCTCTGCCAGATGAGGCCATTGAGAGGGTAGAGGTGACTGATCTGTCATTATCATTAAGCTGTAGAACATACATCACCTCTGGCCTTCAGCAAACTTACCAGTGCACAATAAAAGAGATGTAATATCCCTGTTCATGTTTTCTGGACTATGTGTTTGTTGTCTTGTGGACCCCATAGCTGACTGTATGTTCCAACAACACAACACAGGGACATTTGCTTGCAGATGCTGGTGTAGGGAAGAGATGGCCTTCTGTTTGAAAGATGGTATTTAGGTACCTGCTACTGTGGTGCAGCACAGACTGTAAAGTTGCAGAAAGGGGACATACTGCACCAGCTGGAACAGCAGCAGCTGTCAATTCAGCAATTTTGTACAAATGAGGTTACTGTGGGGAATATTTTTTCTTACATTCCAGCAGATAAGGAAGAGACATCTACCTAGTAAAGGTGGGGTTGTGTGGAAGAAAGGAGGTCTCTCTTTGAAATTAGAGGAGTTCTTTATCCCCATTTGGTCTTCGAGTTGATAGAATCTCACATTCAATTAGGTTTACCATTCACTTACTGCACGTTTACGTATATGTTTGCTTATCTGCACATTTACAAAGGTACCGGGTTGCAAAAGGATTAGAGAATAGTGAAATAGTTATCAAAGTAAAATAAGGTTCATTTGCACTAGGGTATAAGGTTACATATAGGAAAGTTCATTTTAAGGTTGTATGTATTTTTTTTTCACTTGGCACATATTTAATGTAAAATTCTTACACTAGATCTAAGAGTGCTGCACTATATTATTCTTCACACTGTCAATGCTGATGGAAGAAATAACATTTTGTAGGGAGGAAATTGGCACATGAACAAACTCACATTACTGGCCATACAATGCCACCTGACCATAGTTTATAAAATGCATGGTAATTGTGTTTTGGTGCAGCATTGAACAAATTTAATAGTTTGCCATTTTATTGAACAGTGGACATGCAACTTTTGCATGCAATATCTAAGCAGAGATATGTAGTTAAATTCAGAGGTAACATCTATATTATTATCACAAAAGGAAGCCAAATAGTAGCGAAAGGAAGAACCACAAAATATATTTTTAGTGGAAGTGCAATTAAATAATTAACACTGTCAAAGAAGAAAACATTTCAACTGTATTTCACGCCTGGCACTGTTGTCTTGGACTCAAGAATTCTGAAACTATAAAGAAGCTAGCTAAAGATCAGCATGCCAATGGCATGGAAACTTCCCGTGCAGTCAAATAATGAAGTGTACCAGCTGAATAAAGGGATAAATGACCAAGAAATATTTTCCCAAAATTTCAGCAGCAGTGGCTGGCTGGCCCTGGATTTAACTCGCTCAGATCTATGTGGTTCTATGAAAAGTTCACACTCCAAAATGTATTTTCTCATATTCATTGATGACTACTCAAGGTAAAGCCAATGCTATATGTGTCTAGCACATTTTTGATTGGTAAGAGTCATATCTGTAGCAGCTTTCCAACAATTTTTGTATTTTTAAATTGTCTAATATGTATATGAGACCTATGACTTTAACAATAAGATGAATTAAATTGTTTCTATGCATAATATTGTACTGTATGACTACTGTATGTATTCATGTCAGCATCCCTTTCTTTTATTAGTTTTTCTCAAACCTTAAAAAGACCACATTTTCCCCCAAACCATGTATAAAAGATAGAACTTTTTCAGAAAAAGTATCTTTGCTACAAACCTTTATGTGATTACCAAGCAACATCCATGATAATATTCTGTAACTCATTATGGGAGAAAGAGAACCTAAACAAACCCATTGTATCTGAGTGTAACTAATCCAGCATGCAATGGACTAGATCCTATTTGTGGGTATATTACATAGGTCATTTTAATTTCTTATGTCAACAATACAACCTTTTTTGATTAGGGTTGTTTCTTTTATGTTTAACGCTTTTATGACAGCATTCCAGTATGTGCTTCCAACAACATCTGAGGAGTCAAAACAAATATCGTTACAAAACATCATTTCTTACATCCAAGTTGTTAGTGGAAAAAACAATTGCTAGTGTGGTATTAAACCATACTTTTCATTTATAATAATTTTTATGGTGCTTACTGTGGAGATAAATGGGGCTGAGCATGGCTTGCAAACAGAGGATTGAAGACAAAACAATAAATCACATGTGGCACTGAGAGAGAAGAAATCATCTTCATGAAGTGTTGTTATGACACTTATCTTTATTTTGGATCCAGATTTTTGTCTTTACTCTACAAATCTCATTTTTAATGTTTTGATGACATGTGTTTTTGCTTTAGGCTGACATTTGGATTACAGGTGGATGGTTGTGTTTGTGACGAGTTGCTGCTATCTTGGAAATATATATCTAAAACACTGTCTACCACATGCAGTAATCACTGAAGATGAGGCTACTGATAGTGTGGCATTGTTGTATATAGTATGAATGCTGCTAGACAATGCAAGATGGTACGCATCAGGCAAGGATTGGGTAACTCTTTCCTATCCTAGTAGGCTTAGTGAGCCTGAGACTATTCATCTGATTTGTAGTTGCAAAGCCACTTAAAGCCAAACTCCAGGAAAATATGCACATAAAAGGCTCACTGTTGGCCAGCTTGGTTCAATCCAATGCTCTACATGCAAAAACTGTATGGCTTCTAGATATGCCAGAAATAGAGGAGAGAAAAAAGGAGGCACCAAAAACAAAGTGCAGGTTTAATAGATAAGAATAAAAGCACTCACAAGAACAAAGATATAATAAAGCTCATCTGTATAAAAGATCATCTGTGTGGGACCACTCTCCTCCATCCTATAGTGTACCGAAGGGCAAGCCAGTGTGACAGCTGGATCTGTGGGTGCAGTGGAGGGACTCCCCTGGGCAGGGGCATATTTACCACAAGGCAAACAAGGCAGTTGCCTAGGGCGGCATTTTTCATGGGGGCAGCACCTCCCCTCAGAAGAAGAGATGAAAGAAGGTACACGAGCGCCATAGGAACCAGGTGGGATCCAAGAGAGGCTGCAGGCTGCTTGATGATGTATGTAGAGCTCAGGGGCAGACTGACCATTTGGAAACTCGGGCACTGCCCGAGGGCCCGGGGTCAATAGGGGGTCCCATGAGATGCCCCTGGTACCTTTTTCATAGGCTTTTTTGAGTTTGGGCAAGAACACAGGGGCCCCATGATCCCCTATTGCCCGGGGGCCCCATGAGTTGTCAGTCCGCCCCTGGTAGAGCTTGACTCTCATTCCCAGGGATGTCTGGAGCTTTGAAGATGATTGTCTTTCTCTCTTTTGCCGGGGGGGTAGTGAAAGGCTCTTCCAAGTGGGGGGGGGGGGGTGTTGTTAGTCAATGTCAGGCTCTCTCCGTGTCCGTGGGAGGGGGAAGGGGGGGATGTTGGTCTGTGTCCATTGGAGCAGATTATTTTTGTGCTGCCTAGGGCAGCATAAAACCTAAATACACCCCTACCCCTGGGTGTGTGGCTGGAATGGAGCCAACCAATGGCATCTGTACCCAGGAAATGGCCGTATGACCAGAGTGAAATGCACCGGCGGAAGTGACATCACCAGAAGTAGGAGGGTCAATCAGAAGGGGAAAAAAAGCAAATATTCCTGGAGTTTGGCTTTCATTTGTGCCATGCATTTGATTTACAAATCTACTAAGAATCCTTGATGACAGTATGTAATTATTTTGCTCCACTTGAGTAAGCAATCATCAGTCATGTACATAAATCTAAGCAAGTGTGTTATATACCTGGGCTGTATTTAAGGTATCCATACATCAAGCCTGAATGTGCCACTATATGGGCACCTTTTATGGAAGCTGGACAAGCTACTGGGTAGAGAAAATAAAAATGAAACTTTAGTTGGATAGGTTCAGTTTAGTACCAAACAGGATTCACCTTTTAGGGTACTGGTCACTGTAAGTTAAGTTGAATTATGACTTCATTCTATGGGTCGCTGCACTTTTACACTGTCACTGCTCTGTTCAATGATGTTAAATATAAGCCCCAGTACAAAATTTTTAAATTCATACCAATCATTGGGACTTAAGTTGAATAACATGGGTAAATACTCCTTATACCAGTTACCTGTGCCTGGTTTACCAAATTACCATACATCTCCCCAAGCTGACGATTCAGTCTTGATTGTCTGCATGCTGCACTTCATAGAGGGGTACAGCATACAGAGATTAAGCAGATTTGTACTTTGTTTGTTAATAAATAGATTTGGGTAGGTTGTAGGGAAATTTGAACGGAACCAGCATTGCTGTAAAAATTTTAAACGTTGGGTGGGTTGTTCCTTGATAGAAACAAATCACCATAAAATTTAACCAATTAGCGATATAGAAATCAAAAGGTACAAACCCCATGTATCAGTCTATCAAAAGGCCTGAATTAAATTAAGTGTATAGCTTTAGTTGCATTAAGCTAACAAAAATAAAAAAATATTTTTACAAAGTGTTTCACAAATCTTTTTATATGGCCTTCATGTTTTATCCAGTTGCTATACTTCTCGGTTGTCTGTTGTAAAGACTCTAACACTTGTCTACGGAAACGTGTTTCTAATTAGAAAACTGTCTGCAAATAGTATCATTTACTTGTACATTTGGTATCTGGTGCTGTTTGCACAGGTCTCTCACATCTGAAAACAATGTGCAACACAATCTGTTGTGAGTTTACAGAACTGCAGAAATATTTTACTAACGAGATGGTGAAGCTGAAACCATTTCTACTCTATGAGGATTTATAAAACAGCACTGGTTGTCAGCTTTAATATTTGTTTTACAGTGAAACTTGTCTTGAATGCATTTTAAAGCATTGGAACAGGTAAACACTGGTTCTGTAACTAGCTGAAATCACTACATAAATATGACCAAGGGACCATTAAAAATAAGTCATTGTTGCCATTGCACATAAAGCAGGACTATTGCCATTGCTGTTTTGTATTTATCAGTGCATAAGTTATTTCTCATTATAAAAATCAAAGTTTATTTTATATGAGTGTGGCTCAGCATGTGACAATTAATTGAACACATGAACCACTTAAAGTGAATACATAGTGGCTTGGTGTACATTTTTTATTGACTATGGTCAGGGCTAAAAAAGATTAAATGTAAATATTAAATGTAAATATTTTCTTATTTTATAACATACCAAGATACATAACACTTAAATAAATGTGAATTTTCTGTTTGTATTTACAGTCAGCAGATGGAGTTTTAGGCTCTTTTGGACATGTTTACCTGTCTATTCTTAGCTGTTCTGCTTTGAAAAAGCTTGTTTCTAAAGTGCAGAAGCTGAAGGTTAAATGTACATAGAAAACAGAATTAGTCAGAAGTATGCCTCTCCCTGTAGCCCCTGTTCAGGAGATTCATACAAAATTTCAGTAAGTGAGATAATATGAAAGTAAATAAGTCTGTTGTATATTAACTTTAGATATGCTAGCTTTAGCACACCAATGATATGGAGTTATATAATACTTATTTTTAAAACTAAGTACAAAACACATAATAAACAACAAATTAAAAATCTCAACTACAACTGACCCACTACTAATATAGTTTGCTCTAACAGCAAGGTCTTAAGTTGTCCATAGATGATGCAATTTTCTTTCCTGCAATCACGGGTTGCAGGAAAGAAAATTGTTCAATTCCCCAATCAAAACAGTCAGTGTAGATGGGGGGACCCCTCCCACAGAGCTAGTGTGTTCTCCAAGCGTGGGGGTGGGGGGGGGGAGCCGTCTCTATCGGGAAAACACATTCATTTTTGCTAGCAGCTACAGCTGCTGACAATCAAGTGAAAAATCCAACAGGCTGGTTGTACCCAAGTTGTATGACAATCTATTTGAGTACTATCAGCCTGCCCATAGATGATTTGAATCCTTGGCAAGTTCCAGGTGAATTGGCCAAGATGTAAATCATCTATGGCCACCTTTAGCTTAAAGTGGTTGTAAATCTTAGTCATAAAATCTGAACAAAGTAGATATACAGTATCTGTAATGTTCACTTGTTTATCTCAAAAGCTCTAGGTGTTATTTCTCTCTGATGCTTCGTTCCTCTGTTATGAGCATGTATCACTTCTGAGCAGCTTTCCCGACATCCAAGATAAAATTGTGACAGGGGAGGGAGCTCAGCACACAGCTTATCTACTCACAACACAATTCTGCATGTTCCTTCATTCCTGTGCAGTGTATGGAGGGGTGTATGTCCCTTTCCTCCAATCAGCTCTCACACAGTTTACAAGAGCTCTAACTGCAGCTCTCCAACCCTTCCTCTGTGATACTGACAGACTAAGGCTCCATGTACACTGCAGCTGATAAACTCACATTTAGGAGCTTTTCTGCATTTTTTTTCAGCAGCCCCTGAACTCTCCCTAATGTTTTCCTATGTGTCCATGTACACTATGTTGTTTACAGTCGTTTACAGGCAGTTGAGTTTACAGTTGTTTTTTTGAACGCATCAAACTTGCGTTCAGGAGTAGATTTTATCAGCGTTTCAAATGCCAAACGCATGTAAACGTATGTAAACATGGCTAACCGTGTTTATAAGCATTTGGAATTTTTTTTAACTCTTCCATTTCCAGATGCTGCCCAGAGTTTTTTTTCATCATGAAAAATGCATGCAAAGCATTTTCCCAGTACTCAAATGGACCTGGTACACCATACTTTGAGGTTTTGCATGAAAAAAAAATATGTTAGACACTGCTGTAATAATTTCTGCACAGAAATGAGCTGGAACACATCCAAACACCACAAAAAAACTGCTCTCTCTCTCTGCTTCTGCTCTCTCTATTTCTCTCAAGATGTCTGAAATAGTTAAATTTTTACTGTTTTTCAGTGCATTCTGGGCATTTTGGAAGGTCTCCTGAGGTTATCTACATCCAGCCCTTTTGAAGGGATGTAGAGAAGAGATGCCTACAGATAAACAAATAAAACATATATAGGAGGATTTCTTTAATCTCTGTGTATCACCTGAGGCCAGTCACTTCACTGGGTATATGTAAGAGTTTACAACCACTTTAAAGTATTTTTTTTGCACTTTGATCTCACTGTTTATACAAAAACAGCTTGCACATAAATTTGAGGAAAAAAGAAAATGCTTGCCTCCAATGTATTATTTTCTTTAATGCTACTACAAAGATTGGTATTTTTTCACAAGGAAATATTGGGTGATCCTAAATAATTCAAAGGGATTTTCCAGGTCTGTAAACTTTTGTTTACTCTTTGAATTTATTAACACTCATTTCTTAACAAAGTACACTGGTCAAAAAAATTAAAGGAACACTCTGAAAACACATTAGATCTCAATGGGGAAAAATATCATGCTGGATATCTATACTGATATGGACTGGGTAATGTGTTAGAAATGTAAGGATGCCCCTTCGTTTGATGGAAATTAAAATTATCAACCTACAGAGGACTGAATTCAAAGACACCCCAAAAATCAAAGTGAAAAAATTATGCAGCAGGCTAGTCCATTTTGCTGAAATTTCATTGCAGCAACTCAAAATGATACTCAGTAGTTTGTATGGCCCATGCTCGTATGCATGCCTGACAACATCGGGGCATGCTCCTAATGAGATGATGTATGGTGTCCTGGGGTATTTACTCACAGATATGGACCAGGGCATCACTGAGCTCCTGGACAGTCTGAGGTGGAACCTGGCATCATCGGATGGACCGAAACATGATATTCCAAAGGTGTTGGATTTAGGTCAGGTGAGCGTGGGGGCCATTCAATGGTATCAATCCCTTCATCCTCCGGGAACTCTCTTTTCTTGTTTGACATGTGTCGCCCTTCCATGTCCTCCTTGCTGTGAAGGCCAGTTATAGACTGGGGCAGCGGCCATTTTTTGTACTGTTGAATTGTTGGTGAAGGGGCGCACTGGACGCCTTAGATGCCAATGTGCTACATGCTGGGTGTCCAGTGTGCTTCTGTACCTGTACATTAAATACATGTGCCTCTACTATGACGAGGCTATGTAGCTTACGCATGTATTTGCAAATGTGTGCTAACTAACCCCCAGATTTTAACACATACTGTTAGACAGGTTAATTTGGTTTGTTTGTAGGCTGGTTGGCAAGTTTAACTTGGAATTTTTCTCTTTTGTTGTTTGACATGCATCGTCCTTCCATGTGCTCCTTGCTGTGAAGGCCAGTTATAGACTGGGGCAGTGGCCATTTTTGTACTGTTGAATTGTTGGAGAGGGGGTGCACTGGACACCTTAGCT